CCATCAATCATCACCAGATCTTCAATAAAGGTAAGTGTCATGTAATTGTGCATGCCTTTTTCAGTTTGTGTGTATTAAAATTAATATTTCATGTGGTAAAAATTTTTTTTTTCATACTTTGGGGTGTCTTGCACGGATTAATTTGATTTCCATTATTTCTTATGGGGAAAATTCATTCGCATAACGATAATTCCGCATAACAATGAGCTCTCAGGAACGGATTAATATCGTTATGCGGGGGTCCACTGTACTTACATAATTGTAAAAAAAAAAAAATTATTTTTTTTTGAATACAGTGGACCCCCGGTTAACGATATTTTTTCACTCCAGAAGTATGTTCAGGTGCCAGTACTGACCGAATTTGTTCCCATAAGGAATATTGTGAAGTAGATTAGTCCATTTCAGACCCCCAAACATACACGTACAAATGCACTTACATAAATACACTTACATAAATACTCTTACATAATTGGTCGCATTCGGAGGTGATCGTTATGCGGGGGTCCACTGTATTTTTGTTTGGAATGAATTAATTTTATTTCCATTAATTCTTATAGGAAATATTAATTTGGTTATCGGCCATTTTGGTTATCAGCTGACCTTCAGGAATGGATTACGGCCGATAACTGGGGGTCCACTGTATATTGTAGTAAAGAAACTAGGAAGTGTATGTGAGGGCGTTGGTGTTAATGGCTAACACTCTGCCAGCATCCCACCCACCCTTCCCTATAATGATATTTTTATTGTTGAAAATGCAGGGGAAATGATGATTTTAATTATATTCCTTTATAGTATTAGTTTATTAATGTGTACTAAATAATTTATATTTGCAAAAGCATTCTGGTAGTTAATTTCACAGCAGTGAGATGGACACTGAGGCTGTCACAACTTGCAGCCCAACAATAACAACAACTACAATAACATGCCTAGAACCTTGAGAAACTTTTCTTGCGTTTTTATCATTTTTTTCACATTTTCTTGGATATCTTGCACTTACATTATTGTGAGTATTACACTCGACAAATTTATTTCGTAAACAATTGTCTTAGCCATTAACCCTTTCATGGTCCAAGGCCAAAATCTGAAGGGGTGCCCCAGTGTCCAAGAAATTTGGAAAAAAAAAATTATTTTTCTTACAGAATTAAAGATAATATTTTTGTGAGGGTAATAAAAGAAAAGAAATTTCTGATCAATACTTACCAAGATAAAGCTGCGGGAAGTTGACCCAAAATGACCGGGTGGCGGCAACATCAGCGACTTCCACAAAGTTGCATTCTTTTTATTTTATGATTTTTATACTTTTTTCTTTTCTTTTCTAATTTTTTTCTTTTTCTAGTAACATTTGTGGCCTGTGAGACCAATATAATGTATATTGTATAAGTGTACACTCATTGTATTCAACACAATAACTGCACTAATTTGTTTATCATTATATTGCTTACAAAACTTGTTTACAAGTTTATTGTAAACAAAATGATGAAAATACTAGTGCGGTTATTGTGTTGAATACAACGGTACCATATAGTACCATATGGTACAATGGCACCATTTGGTACAGTGGTACCATATGATACAATGGTACCATATGGCACAATAGTACCATATGGTGCAATGTACCATATAGTACATTGTACCATATGTTACAATGATACCATATGGTACTGTTGTATTCAACACAATAAACACACTAATATTTTCATTATTATTTCGTTTACAATAATTGTTTACAACAAAAATATGCAAAAATGTTGTATATTAGTAGTGTTCTATTTTATATATACATATGTACAGCCACTCGACATGTTACTTGAGGTGGATGACAAAGCACTTTGTCTTGGAAACTGCGGAGTCACTAGCTAGCTTGCTTTGTCACTCAGTCTTGGCTGGTGCCTGGTGCCACCAACACCTACTGACCATATGGTACATGGTATCATATGTTACAGGGTACCATATGGTACATTGTACTATATGGTATAGGGTACCATATGGTACAGGATACCATATGGTGCAGGGTACCATATGGTGCAGGGTACCATATGGTACAGGATACCATATGGTGCAGGGTACCATATGGTGCGGGGTACCATATGGTGCAGGGTACCATATGGTACAGGGTACCATATGGTGCAGGGTACCATATGGTACAGGGTACCATATGGTGCAGGGTACCATATGGTGCAGGGTACCATATGGTACAGGGTACCATATGGTACAGGACACCATATGGTACAGGACACCATATGGTACAGGTCACCATATGGTACAGATACAGGGATCCCTATGGAAATAATTCACCCTGGCTTTTCTGGGTTATCCTAGGATTTTATACATGTGCTGCAATGTATGATAATCTATGTAACTGTATTTGTGTACACCTGAATAAACTTACTCAAGCACATGTGGCATCATAAGTTTATTTAGGTATACACAGATAAAGTTACATAGATTATCATACATAGCAGCATATATTTGGAGAACCTAGGATAACCAAAATAAGTTACAGACTTATTTCCTTTAGGGTTAAAATATAGTATTTTTTACTAATGTTTGCAAGTGATAGGTGACAGCCTGTCATATGTTTGCACACATTGTACAGGGTCACATCAGCCCTCCCCACACATTTCAGCATCACCAGGCAATGACAACTACAGTGAATACATTCTTGTGGGACCTGGTACAGGTGATGATGCCGTACCATCAGCTATATAAAGCATTGCAGGGGAAAAGAGACCAAAGATAGATACATTACAGAATTTCTGACTACTCCAGTACAACCGCTGACTTTAGTGTCAAAGCCTCAACCATTTACCTCAGGAAACAATCCAGGACCTTTTACCTCAGCCCAGTAGGGCCACAGCATCCCAAGAAGCCCAATGGAAATGTCATTGGTCTGACCATTTTTTTGGGTTATCCTAGGTAATTTACACTATGTAAAATAATTGTACTTATGTCTACCTGTGCCTAAATAAACTTACATATCCCTCTCCACTCTGTTCAGAAGCATTAACTTATACAAGTAACCAAAATTTAAGGTAAGCATTATTTCTGTAAAATTCATAGCCTTATGCAATGCATTATACATAATACATCATTACAGTGAACTACAATTACACTTAATTTTCAGGAACGTAACTACCATGTTAACCCTTTGACTGTTTCAGTCGTATATATATGTCTTATGAGCCACCGTTTTTGACGTATATGTACTCATAAATTCTAGTGGCTTCAAATCAAGCAGGAGAAAGCTGGCAGGCCCACGTGAGAGAATGCGTCTGTGTGGTCAGTGTGCACCATTTAAAAAAAATCCTGCAGCACGCAGTGCATATTGAGAAAAATTTGCTCAGTACTCTAACAGATTGGCAGTTGAACAGGCTTCTGGAACGAATTAAGTTCAAGTTCACTGTACTAATATTGACAACTTAAAAAATTGGAAAAATTTGGTATGACTTTTTATGGATTTAATTTTGCCACCGTAGCGGCTAGTTTATTGTGCATCCCATATCCATCGTGTGGATGATAGCACAAAAACATATGAATACACAAAAGACCTGAGAACTAGGCCCCAAAAGGGTGTACAGTAGTACATCTGGATTTATATCTACAGTTCACTTATGTGTTGCAAGCAAATTTAGGAAACATGCTTAACCCTTTGTCTGTTTCGGTCATATATATATGTCTTATGAGCCATCGTGTTTGACGTATATATACTAAAAAAAATCTAGCGGCTTCAAATCAAGCAGGAGAAAGCTGGTAGGCCCACATGTGAGAGAATGGGTCTGTGTGGTCAGTGTGCACCATATAAGAAAAATCCTGCAGCACGCAGTGCATAATGAGAAAAAAAAACTGATGATGTTTTTGGATTAAAATGCCGACTTTGCAGTGTATTTTCGTATAGCATTTATGGTCGTATTCTCTTTCTCTTGGTCTTATTTGATAGAATGGAAAACATATTATAGAAATAGATGTGATTTTGATTTTTTTACTATGAAAAGAACCTTAAATCGAGCTCAAAGTAGGGGAACTGTTTGATTTTTGCCGATGTTCAAAAGTAAACAAATGATATCATTCCCCAATAAATGCCCAACTAGCCATTTTAATATGCAGTCATGAATGGGTTAACATTATTTATACAATTATTACAATATTGCAGTAGTCTGCATAACAGTAAATCTTCTATTTTTTGTTTTAATAAAAATTCTAAATAGAAAGCAAGAGTAATATTAGAGGGGCCTGGAGACGTGACTGATGAACAAAGAAAATGTAATTTTAGTGCCAGGAATGTCTGCATTGTTCATTCTGGACCCTATTTTGAAATTGGCATATTTTTTAATTTGCGTGAAATTGGCCAAATTACAAATTTCTGACCACGTTATTGGGTAGTTGAGATCGGTAAATGGGTAGTTTCTTGTACTCAATCGATAGAACAAATGGAGTTCTAAAGAAATAGCTATGAGTTTGGTCGACTGGAACAATGGAATTAGCCGAAAATAGGGCTCAAAGTGGGCGAAATCGCCGATTCGTAAATATCGCCGAGGTTGCTAACTTTGTGAGAGCGTAATTCTGTGAGTTTTCCATCAAATTTTGTTCTTTTGGTGTCATTACCATCGGGAAAAGATTCTCTGTCATTTCATAAGAATTTTTTTTTTTTTTTAATTTTTTGACACCAGGAGACACCTCATGATTTGGGGTTGCGACAATCAAGGGGTTAATGTATATGGTATCTTATTTTTGTTAATAAGATATCATGATATATCACAGGTTATTATATTCTCTATCTCTATATTCTCATATGTTGTTCACTCCACTCTTCATTTTTTCACATATAGCGCTGTTCTTCTGGAACATAACTGATGTGAAAGGTGGTTGTCTACTGTATAATTTTTCTGTCAAACTGTTAAGAAAATGTTGAATAAAATCACCAACCAGTATATTTGTAGTGATGCAATTGCTTACCCACTCTTAAAACAAATATTTATACTATTATTTAATCTTCTCATTAGGAAATAGTGGGTGCAGCACTTGTCATCATCTTACCAGCTTTGAAAGATAACCATCACTAGAGAAACTTCTGCACTGGTCAAGGTAGTGGGTGGACATGTTACTCTGCTCTGATTATCATTTACCAAGTGCTCATCACATCTTGGTTCATTAATCCCCTCCACCCCATTGGATGAACACCAGACACCAACTGCTTGCTTCTTCTCAGAATATATTGTATTGAGAGGTGAGTAACTGCTTATTTGTAGCTACAGGAGCAGAGCTATGCTTGTGGTGTCCTGTCTTCTGTATTTAATCTTATGAATTTTGCATAAAATTTCTAATAATTGTAGTCCCTCCTATCTGTTTTTACAGATTCAGCTTTATTAAATTGTTTAGAAATGCTGGCACAGCTTTCTTATAAAGGCCAACAGATTGGACTTTGCTGTATTGCGCACTGTATTGCAATGTTCTTTTTATTAGCCCTTTAATTGTCCGTCATGTAGAACTACATCAGTGAGGTCAAGGTCCTTGACATACTTGTATGTCATGAGCTCAGCTCATTCAGATGAGCTGTGAGCAGTAATGGATCTGTGCAGTGGTTGTGCACCATATTAAAAAAATCCTGCCTCACACAGTTCATGATGGGAAAAACCAAACTGGGACTGTGTGTATGGTTTAAAATAGCATCATTGCTGTGTTTTCTTGGATGGTTTTTACAATTTTATTGGTTTATTAGTATCATTTGAGAAAATGAAAGACATAGTACTGAAATAGAAATGAACTTGATTGGTTTCCATACTGGAAGTAGCTTGAAACTGAGCTCATAAGAGCAGAAATATTAATTTTTTTTTTCCAAAAAGCTGGGTAAGGCCCTTCTACAACCCCCAGGTCTGATTCAATTATTAGGATGCTGTAAACCATGACCAATCTTCCCTGGTTATATTTTATTGTCTGAGAAATGCAGTAAATCTTCTATTTTTGTGTTAAGAAGTTAACCCTTTCAGAGTCCAGAGGCCAAATCTCAAAGAGTGCACCAGGGTCCAAGAATTTTTGAAAAAAAAAAAAAAAAAAAATTCTCAGAATTAAAGATAATAATTTTCTGTAGGTAATAAAACCAAAAAAAAAAATTTTCGATCTGTAGTTACCAAGATATAGAGGTGTGAAGTTGACCCTCAATGTCCCGGTGGTGGCAACATCGGTGACTTCTGTAAAGTTGCAATATTTTATTTTAGGTTTTTGTTACTGTTTTTCTTTTCTTTTCTAATATTTTTTTTCCAGTAACTTTTGTGGCCTGTGAGACCAATATAATGTATAATGTGTAAGTGTACACTCATTGTATTCAACACAATAACTGCACTAATTTGCTTATCATTATATTGCTTACAAAACTTGTTTACAAGTTTATTATAAACAAAATAATGAAAATATTAGTGCGGTTATTGTGTTCAGTACAACGGTACCATATAGTACTACAGTGGTCCCCTGCTTTTCGTAGTTCCCGGCAATCATAAAATTCGCCAATCATGGGGGTATTTTCGTATAAACATGGACTCGCTTTTCATAGGTTGACTCGCGAGTCGTAGTTCGTCCGGGACGCGTACGCACGGCGTGAGCCAGGGCGGCAGCCAGTCTGGCATTGTTTACCAGTGAACGAAGGTCCCCTCACGTGCTCCAGCGAAATATTTCATAATATTCCATTTATTTTAGTGCTTGCAAGTACTAAATAAGCTACCATGGCTCCAGAGAAAGCTCCTAGTGCCAAGCCTGTGGTAAAGAAGGTGAGAAATACGATTGAATTTAACCCTTTGACTGTTTCAGGCCCCTCTCTGAAACTGTCATTCTATGTCGCCAAATATTCAAAAAAAAAAAAATTATTTTTTCTTATGAAAATGTTAAGATTATTTTTCTGAGTGTTTTAGTCCAAAAAAAAAATTTTTGCCATCGGTACTTACTGAGATATAGAGCCGTGAAGTTTGCAGAAAATGAGCCGCGTATGGCAACAGCGGCGACTGCCGCTCACCCGGTAAACTTTAGTTTACTTGTATTTGAAGGTTTTTTGTTTTTTTCACTATTTTATTTTTTCACATAACTTAAGTGGCCTATGAGACCAAAGTAAGGTGCAATGTACATATATACACTCGTTGTATACAACACAATAAGCACACAAACATAATTATCAATATATTGTTTACAAAACTTGTTTACAAAAACAAACAATCATCCTCCTCCTCCTCATCCTCCTCCTCCTCCTCCTCCTCCTCCTCCTCCTCCTCCTTCTCCTTCTCCTCCTCCTCCTCCTCCTCCTCCTCCTCCTCCTCCTCCTCCTCCTCCTCCTCCTCCTCCTCCTTCTCCTCCTTCTCCTTCTCCTCCTCCTTCTCCTCCTCCTCCTCCTCCTTCTCCTCCTCCTTCTCCTCCTTCTCCTCCTCCTCCTCCTCCTCCTCCTCCTCCTCCTCCTCCTCCTCCTCCTCCTCCTTCTCCTTCTCCTTCTCCTTCTACTTCTACTTCTACTTCTACTTCTCCTTCTCCTTCTACTTCTCCTTCTCCTTCTACTTCTCCTTCTCCTTCTCCTTCTCCTTCTCCTCCTTCTCCTTCTCCTCCTTCTCCTCCTCCTTGTCTTGTGTGCGAGTGTGTGGCTTATAATTGTTTTGAGTCAGAAGTCGGCAGCTGTCAAAGTGACATATTGTCTCATTACTCACTCCCCCTCCCGCCTGTCAAAACAATGGGGTCGGATGCTGCTTCCCTTCCTCCATTCTATCTAATTATCTTTCTCCCTCATTCTATATCTTTCAATCTGTCTCTCTTTCTATCTGTCTGCCTATCTCTGTCTCACAGGTACACATAAATACAAGTATACATAGTGTAAATTACCTAGGATAACCCAAGAAATCCAGACAAAGTGCTATACTCTGCTTGAAGATGTGAGTAAACGTGATGACACAGTCTTGTGGCTCTCTCTGAGACAGAGAGCTAGATGGACAGACAGGGAGCTTGACAGACAGACAAAATAGACAGACAGAAATGTTTGTGTACCAGCAAAAACAAAGGGAGGGCGATGGTCATGTAATATTACCCTCCTTTACGCTCATCAACGTCAGCTCTTATCAGATGTTATCTCCCCTTATCTTGTCACTGTCATGGGGTGGACTTTTTTTTTTTCTTGCTTCAAGGGAACAATATTATTACATCTTCTTCTTCCTCCTCCTCCTCTTCTCCTTCTCCTCCTCCTCCTCCTCCTCCTCCTCCTCTTCCTTCCCTCCTCCTCCTCCTCCTCTTCCTTCCCTCCTCCTCCTCCTCCTCTTCCTCCCCTCCTCCCCCTCCTCCTCCTCCATTGCTTTTGGTCTCAAACTCCTCCAAATCATGAAATTGATCTTCACTGACACTTCCATCTGTGTTAGAGCATCACTTGGGAAGAGAAGAGTCCCAGATTTGCTAGGGAATCACATATTTCTTACCGCTAGACATGCTGAAAAAGGACAACTGAAATGGCATTCCCACAATGCACCACTGGCTCCCCGATTTTTTTTATATGGTGCACACTGACCATGGAGACCCATTCTCTCACATGTGGGCCTACCAGCTTTCTCCTGCTTGATTTGAAGCTGCTAGAATTTATGCGTATAAATACATCAGAAACATTGGCTCGTAAGACGTATTTATACGTCGGAAACAGTCAAAGGGTTAAGAAAACCTTCATTGAACAATATGAAAGTGGTACAAGTGTGGCCGAACTGTCCAGGATGTATAAGAAACCCTACACAACCTTATGTTCCATAGTGGCCAAGAAAAATGAAATTAAGGATGCTGTTGTTGCAAAGGGAGTAACTATGCTGACAAAAATGAGATAACCAGTACTGGAAGAGGTTGAGAAGTTATTATTGGTGTGGATAAATGAGAAACAATTAGCAGGAGATACTCTTATGACTTCGTTTATTTGTGAAAAGGCTAGGCAGTTGCCTGAAGATTTGGTAAAGAAATTGCCTGCAAATAGTGGTGAAGTGAGTGAATTTAAGGCCAGCAAAGGCTGGTTTGAGAGATTTAAGAACCATACTGGCATACACAGTGTGGTAAGGCATGGTGAGGCTGCCAGTTTGGACCACAAGGCGGCTGAAAAATATGTGCATGAATTCCAGGAGTACATAAACAGTGAAGGCCTGAAACCTGAACAAGTGTTCAGTTGTGACGAAACAGGCCTCTTTTGGAAGAAATGCCAAAGAGGACCTTCATTACACAAGAGGAAAAGGCAATGCCATGACACAAGCCTATGAAAGACAGGCTGACGCTAATGTTCTGTGCTAATGCTAGTGGGGATTTCAAAGTAAAGCCATTACTAGTGTACCATTCTGAAAATCCCAGAGTGTTCAGGAAAAACAATGTTATGAAGAGTAAATTGTGTGTGTTTTGGAAATCTAATAGAAAGGGCCCATGGGTTTCATGAGGGAAATTTTCGTCGAGTGGTTCAATGAAGTGTTTTGGCCCTAGTGTGAAGGAGTATCTCCTGGAAAAGAAATTGGATCTCAAGTGCGTGCTAGTAATGGACAATGCACCTGCTCATCCTCCATGACCTAATTTTCGAGGAGTTTGGGTTCATCACAGTAAAGTTCTTGCCCCCGAATACCACTCCTCTCCTCCAACCCATGGACCAGCAGGTTTTTTGCAAACTTTAAAAAAACTTTCACAAAAGCAATGTTTCACAGGTGCTTGACTGTGACCACAGACACTCACTTGACCCTAAGGGAATTTTGGAGAGAACACTTCAGCATCCTCCACTGCATAACCCTTATAGGTATGGCTTGGGAGGGAGTGACTACCAGGACTTTGAACTCTGCCTGGAGAAAATTGTGGCCAGATTGTGTCAACAAGAGGGTTTTGAAGGAAATTTGGGACTGACCCTATTGAGCCTATGTCTGTTGTAAATCAATTGTGGCACTGGGGGGGTTCCATGGGGTTGGATGTGAGTTTGGAGGATGTGGAAGAATTGGTGGAAGACCCCAATGAAAGCTCGCCACTGAGGAGCTGCAAGAGCTTCAGCACGAAGAGCAACACATCGCAGCTCAGAATCTTTGCGCAGAGGAGGAGGAAGAGAGATGGGAAAAAGGTTTCCTTCTTCAGAATTAAAGAGATTT